TAATCTGCAAGTTTGATAACTCCTAACTCATGGGATTCTTTCAAAGAGTACGTGAGTCCTTACTTTGAAAAATTCCCAGAAGGTAACAAGCCCTCAATTAATAGGATTGTCGTGAGTTGCAATGGAGCCGTGGCAGTGAACGAGTGAGTGTTAACCCCTGCACCTGTCTGCCAGTCTGCTGCAATGTGGAGGCTGTGTGTGACTGTGATGCGGGAAGCTCTGCCACGAGGGTTTCAAACACCAGCAGGGTCACCATGCGCGGTAGACAGGTTTTAGGGGCCCCTTCCAGACCAAAACAAAACAAGCGAGCCTTGGCCATCTATGTCCAAAATCTAGCGGCGTGCAGTCGATGGCTGGGGGATGCGCCCCCTCCCCCCCAGCTGCTCGAGCATCCAAAGGGTCATGAATGTGGAGCAGGGGTCACTGCTGCCAGAGCCGCAGAGGATGACTGCAGCAGCATTGTGGGTGGGCTCTCCAGTCTCCCCAGCTTTTGTATCAAATGCTAAGGAGCCCAAGGGACCTCCACCCTCACCTGTGGTGTATAAATACCGGCAGTAGGTTCCAGTGCCTGTCATGTGTAGGGCACAGCTGGGCCCTGTCCATAGCAGAGCAGTGCCTGAATGTGCTGCTCCGAGGTCACCATGGGGAAGCAGGCTCGGGCCTCTACTCCCCAGACTAACAGAGGGTGACACCCAGGGCTGTGTTCCAGGGGCCAGGTTCTCCCCAGGGAAGGCAGGCAGAGGATGGATGTCAGGCCCATTGATGCCCTTGGTCATTGTCAGTGGTCCGTCACTTCCTAGAAAAGGCCGTAAGTATCCACAACAGAACAGGGAGGTGTGTGTTTGCCAGGGTGCGGCTGGGGCCCAGGGGCACACGCCTAGAACTCCCTCCCCTGGTTGAGATGAACAAGGGATTTGGGCCTGGTGGTGTAGTGGTTACACACTGGGATGCTAACCAGCAGTTCAAAATCGCCAGCCACCCCTCAAAAATGATGAAGCTTTCTACCCCTGTAAAGATGTTTCCCCTTGGAAACCCACAGGCGTCGTTCTACCCTGCCCCCCCCCCTGCAGGGTCACTAGCAGTTTGTTTTGCCCTGAGGGGGTGAGGAAAGTGGGTGCTACCTGGTCCATTTAGCGCCCCAGCGACTTGTTGGGCTCCTCTGGAGTGTGGGCTCAGAGTAGACCCGGGGGCCACGCCGAGAAACAGGTCAGCCCAGGCCAGGGCTCCTCTGGTTGCAGCCCCATCTTCACTGTGTGGCAGCTGCTTACAAGAGCGGAGTATCGAGACTCCAGACCAGAAGGCACCCTCAGCCAACTTCCTCTGAGGCCTCTGGGCCCCCGAGTGACCAGTTCAATGGAAAGGCCAGTGCACCTCACACCCTGCTCCTAGCTCAGGCGTCAGGGCACCTGGAAGGGTGGGGGGTGGGGACTAAGAGGGTATTGTGAATTGGACTGTCCCACTGAGACACTGTAGTCCTAATCCCCAGTACTTATTTGGAAATAGGGTCTTTGAAGCTGTTAGCAGTTAGCATGAGGTCACACTGGGGGGTGGGGGACATTCAGTGTCTGGTGTCCTCATTAAAGAGATGTGGACGGAGGCAGGGGTTGGAGTGATTCTTCAAGCACAAGCCACATACTGCCAGGACCCACCAGCAGTTGGGAGAGCCGACACCCTGAATTCAGACCCAGCCCCTGGGACTGAGAGAATACATTTCCGTTGCTCTGAGCTGCCCAGGGTGAGGGACTTTGTTTTGGCAGTCATGCGAATTTGGTGCAGGAAGGTGACTGAGACTGTCTGGCCACCTCAGCACCTACTCCCAAAAACCGAGCCTTGATATGTGGGCACCTCAGGGGTGGGGCCTAACAGCCGCTGGGGAAACAGAGATGGTGCCTGGGGGAGAGGGGGGGCTTGCAATGCAGGGGTTTGTACAGGACCCCGTTGTGCACCCTCCCCCTCTGCTGCATGGAGCCCAGCCCCTCTGCGTGTCCCACTCCACAAGCCTCCAGAGAGTCCCCAGCCTGGCCATCCCGGGCCTTCTCGCTGACCCCCCGCAGGGACTCCTACTGCACCCATCATGCACTAGCAGTGGGCAGGCTTTTGACACTGGCTCAGGTAGCCAACCTAAGCATCCTCATGTCGGTCCCTCTGCGCGCCCCTCACCCCTGTGCCCCTGGCATCCTTCCCCAGGCTAAGGCAGACCTGGGCTTGTAGCACCCACATTTGTTGGAAACCGAAGTTGACCAGAGACACGACTTTCTATCAAAAATACCTTTAGCTTTGGGCAAGGCCTGCTGCCTCGGGCTGATTCCAACTTCTGTGAACTCCAGGTAGGACGGGAGGCCTGTGCCCGAGATGCTTTTGTGGTTCTCATCATATGGAAGCACTTCTCCAGGTCTTCACTGCCAGTTGGGGTGTGTGTGGGTGTGCACATGACAAACATACTGCCTGATATCAAGTCGATCCCAACTCACAGCCATCCCATGGAGGGTTCCCAAAGCTGTAAGTCGTTAGAGGAGCAGACAGTCTCACCTCTGTCCCACCAAGTGGTTGATGGGTTTGAACCACCAACTTGGTGGTTAGCATTCCAACACTCACCAAACAGTGCCACTAGGGCTCCCAGGCAAGTGTAAACCCTTTGCACCACCCAGGGGCAAGGCCCACTGGATGCCAAATGGACGATAAGTCACGCGGGAAGAAGGCCCGGGGAGAAGGCGTTTGCCGAGGGGTAAGCAAGGAGGAAGCAAACATGAGCAAGGGGTTCATCTCTTCGCTGGTCACGCACCGGCTCCCAGAGGCCTCTGCCCAGAGAAAGCAGCGGTTCAGAGATGCTTAGCGCGAAGACTTCGGAGCTTCCAGAATCTCGCGGGACTCGGGGCAAGGACAACTCGGTGCCTGGTGTTTCATATGCATGTTTATTTCCACACAAGATCATTCCCGCTCCGGCCCGTTTGTTCACACCTGCACTGCACGGATTTGGTGCAGGGCCAGAACTTGATTTTAAAGTGCTACCCTGGAAGTAAAATCATTGCAATGCAAATGTATCATCCAACTTAGCAAGCCATCACATATCTGGAACACTTTTTTTTTAATGTAGGGTTGACATAACATTGAAAAAAAAAAGACAAAGATAAACGATGTATCGCGGCCCAGTTGGTGGCTGAACAGATGGCTTCGAATGGCTCCTCACACATGAAACAGGAAAAGCTAAGAAAACTGACCCAAAGGTGACCTGAGTTGGCGATGCAGGACTTGACGGGGTCCTTGTTCGCAAGCTGGTTGCTTTGGTAATCGTTTCAGGAGGGTCAGGGGGGCACCAAGAAAAAGGCTGGCATCAGGGTTGACGGAGGCCCCTGGATCAGCTTCCTACCTGATGGAGGTAAGTGTTCTGGCTCCAACCATCCCTGACTCACCCTAAAGTCTCAAGTGCCAGGGGCCTGGAGAGGATGCTCCAGAAAACACCAGCGTTTGTGTCGACAGCAATAGACATTCACCTTTCCCTTTTCTGCGTGCAGAGAAAACTGTGAACTCTTCCAGAAGGTTGGCCAGTACAAACCTTGACAGGTACCAGACTTGCTCCTCATTGACTGCCACTGGCCACGTGTCGGAGGACTCAGGGCTGGCATGGAACTTCAACCCTGATTTTAATAAAGTGCTCAGGACTCAACCCTGGCCCTCACAGCGGTTGTGAAAGGAAACACGAGGTTGCTACTTTTCTTATTGCTACAGCCACACACACTCACACACACAGACACACCCCAAAGTCTGTTCTCAGCCTGCCACCAAGAGCCAGGCAAGTGCTCACGCAGCAACGGTGACAATGTGGGGAGCCCTCAGAAACCACCAGGAGCGGCTTTCCTGGAGACAGGTTAGTGTTCTAGACTGCGTTCAGCACACCCTGCTGTGAAAGACAAAACAAAACACCCTCAAGCCACTCAAGTCTAGGAAAGGGAAGGGAATAAAGGTGATTCACACATTCATGCTTTGAACCATTTGGTATACAGCCTTAACTGATGCTTAACTTCAGTGACCTTTACTTTGGACATAAATACCCGACATCATTAGACAACCAGCCCACCTGGAGAGCAGCTTGGAAAGGCGGGATTCACAGTATCATGAGCCCACATTGTCGGCCTCTGCCCAGGAGCTTCTCTAAGGCACTCGCTCGCCGCCCCACTGTGTTCCGTTTTGCTGGGCAAACTAGCTTGATTAGTGTTCTACATGCCGGCAGCGGGAGAGGAAGACAGCGAGTCCAGGGAACAGGATCCTGGCTCTGACCCAAATGTCCACAGAGGCTGGAGGCCAACGTGTTTTCAAGGGACGCCCAGGACCACCACGCTCCTTACAGCACTCTCTACCTGCCTCAGCTTTGATTCACGTCACACACACACACACACACA